ATTATTATTATTATAAATATCATTATAATTATTTAAATTATTATTATTATTAAAATTATTATTAAAATTAAAATTATAATGATTATAATTATTATTATTATTATTATAAAAATTATTATTATTATTATTATTATTATTATTATTAATATTAATATATTTATAATTATTATTATTATCATTATTATAACTATTATTATTATTATTAAAATTAATATTATTATTATTATTACTATTATTATTATTATAATTATTATTATTATTTTTATTTTTATTAATTTTATTTTTATATAAGATATAGAAACAAAAAATGATAGTTAAAAAGATAAAAATGAAAATATATAGACTATCCATTATTTTTTTGAAAGCTATTGAGACAAAAAACATACGTATACAAATGTAAAGTTATTTATTTGTAAAGAAAAAAAAAAAAAAACAAAAAAAAAAAAAATTATAGTTTTTAAAAAAAATTTTTATTTTTTTTTTTTCAAATAAAAATTTAAACATTTCCTTTTTTATATATCATTGTAATGGGGCATATGTATGTTCATATATTATAATAATATTATATTAAAAGTACGGGCTTCAACCTCACTGTATGTATTTTTTTTTAATTTTTATTTTATGAATCTTATATAATTTGGTACTAATTTTGTATTTGAAAACAGTATAGTTTTATCCAGACTTTCTTAAATCATATGAATTTTCCTATACCAGGTTAAAATGTGGCGAATGAACCTTATTCAAATACCCAAAGAATACCATTGCCATTGAATCTTTATAAATAAAAAATCAAAATAAATGAACAATTAAATAAATAAAAATAAATAAAAAAATAATGGTTGTTTTTTAAAAAGAAAATAAATTATTTATATGTATTTATTTTTTTATATTTTTTAAATTTATTAGAAAACTAAAAAATTGGCTTTTAATAACTCTCTTGCTAATGTTTTAACTTTTGTTTAAATTTAAATTTAATAAATTTTTTACGGCATAAATCTTGTATAGGT